GTGGGCAAGACCAATTCCAACAGAATTCTTCTCCTGACCATATGCACAGAACATGACCTAATTTTCACAAACACCATATTCTGCCAAAATAACAAGTACAAGATATTGTGGAAACACCCGCGATCTAAGCATTGGCATCTGATTGACTATGGCATTGTCTGTGCTCATAACTGTGACGACTTTACATCAAGAAAGTGCTGACTTGTGCCAACAATTGTTGTACAGACCATCACTTTATCCGCTCCATTATTTCCATCAAACTCACATCGAAACAAAAAATGTGGAAGAAATCAGCCAGACAGAAGATCAATGTCAAGAGTCCTAAGGACCCAACTATACATGACCTTTTTCCAGCAGTGCCTCACCAAGAAACTGATGAATATCAAAGCCGAGATGGAGAACCCCAAAGATCACTGGAAAGTGCTCAAATTGGCTGTCCATGTTGTGTGTGAGGGAACACTGAACTTCTCAAACAGGAAGCACAAAGACCAGTTTGACAAGAACAATTAGGAAATCCAAGACCTGATCAAATATGAGTACAAGGCCTTCTGTGCTTGGCAGAATTACATCAATTCCAACCAGAAGAAATATGTCCACCATCAACTGAAAGCTGAGGTTTAAAGGAAGTGAAGAACAGGTGGTGGGAGAACAATGCGAAGGAGATCCAACAACTCACCAACACCCATGACATGAGCGGATTCTTCAATGCCATCAAAGCCCTCTACAGACCCTAACCCCCTCTCAGATCCAGGGATGGAGCCAACCTCCTTAGGACAATGAATCAATCAGTGCATGATGGAAGGAATACTTCGAAGACCTCCTGAATCATGTCTCCAATGCTGACAAAAGCATCATTGACTTAATCCCTTAATATCCTATCAAGGATGACCTCAGAACCCCACCAATATTTGTTGAGGTAAAAGAAAAAGCTATCAAACAGATGAAGAACAATAAGGCATCTGGACCTGATGGAAGAAGGAGCAGAAAAATGGCTCACCAGCTTTACATCTTAATCCTCAAGATTTGGAATTCAGAACAAATCCCAGCTGATTTTAGGAATGTTATGATAATGACCATCTTCAAGAAAGGAGATAAATCAGATTGTGCAAATTATCCAGGAATAGCCCCGTTGTTCATTTCCGGAAAGATTTTTGCCAGAATTCTTTTCAACCAGCTGCTCCCCTTAGCAGAGGAAATCCTCCCAAGATCATAATGTGGATTCAGACCACACTGAGGTACCACTGACATGATCTTCACTGCCTGCCAACTTCAGGAAAAGTGCCGTGAGCAACAACAACCTCTGTACATGGTTTTCATCGACTTCAAGAAAGCATTTAACTCCATCAATCATGAGGCTATGTAGAGAATTCTCCTTAAATCTGGATGCCCACCAAAATTTGTTGCCATCCTCCAACTCCTCCATGACAACATGTCTGTGAT